GCACTGGGTTGGGACGTTTTCTTGATGTGCACTTAACCTTTATATAAAACTCTCTCTTATACATGAGTTTCTGTGGATTTGTTTCTCTAAAATACTCAGACTAACACAATGGCCAAAAAACTGTTTGATGACTAGTAAGAAATGAATGAAATAATGCTTAAAAGATGCATGGCTTTTCTAGAAAAACAAAGCAGTTGCTCAAAAAAATTCATATCTCAATGTCAAGAATGATGACAGCTATGCCATGGTGATACAAGGCATAATGAACAAATTGAATAAAGACTATAATTTCACCTAGCTCTCATTTTTAGGAGAAGCAAGAATTTAATTAAGAAATATTAATTTAATTACCAAAGCAAGCACTTCGACCTAATTTTTGCAAAATTTATTTTCTCTTTGCAAGTATCTCCATTATAGATGAGGTGGCCTTATTTGATTTTGTTGCACTAAAGTTTGTTCTAAACTAAATTTACATGAGGCAAGGGGTAGAGTGGTCCTGGACAGGAGCCAGAAATATCTAGGTGTAAATATCAACCCAGACACTTGCTACCTGGGTGATTTGAGGAGGTGCTTCTATAGAACTTCAGATTTCAGAGGGAATATATAGTGCTTATGTTCTAATATTGTGGGGATTAAATAATTAATACTGTTAATTTTAGCATAGTGCTTGGTACATAATAAATAATTTCCCAATAGTTCTTTATTGTTATTTTTGTCAATTATTTTCTTAAGTACTATATTCATTTGGCTTAGTCAGTTAACATTAATTACCTCTTTGCTTCAATAAGCACTTTTTGTGCATATATCCTGTGGCAGCCACTGTGCTAAGGGTAGATGGGACCTTGAAATAAGACCACTTCTGCTACTGAGAGTTGCGTGTAATTTAGAGTTGTCCTATTGTAAGGGGTGTATTTTGACTTTTTAAATTATTTGTGCTATATCACAGAGCATTCATTCTATGAATGTGGCCAATATATGTGGGCAGCTATAAACCAGGTGCCTTATAGACATTATGAGGGTGTGTTAATTTTAAAAACTTAAATAATGCATTAGAAAATAGATTCTTTTTTGGTTTTTGAAGCATAAAACAACTTGCGATTAATTCCCCTGCTTCTGAGAATAAAATAATTTACATGCTTCTATAGTTAATAAATTAGCTGAGTTGTGCCCTGGTGGCATAGTGGGTCTGTGTAATCGCAACATCATCAGTTCAGAACCCCTCAGTGGGAGAAAGTAAAGGCTTTCTACATCCCTAAGGAACTGCAGTCTCACATCCACAGCAGCAGGCAGCTCTACCTGGTCCTACAGGGCCGCTGTGAGTTGAAATCAACTTGATGTCAGTAAGTTGGATTTTGTTTTTTGAGATATTAAAAAGATGGATGTCGCAATGCATGTCTTTGTCAGTCTGATTTGAAAGCCAGCTTGTAGTGGATTAAATTCTAACAAAGCCTCTTTGAATTGAGTCACATCTACTACACATTTTAAATCCATGTATGATCCTTTTCTTTGGTGAATAAATAAAACTTCCACTTAGACTGAAGTTCAGAGCAGGAAACATTTTGCTTTGCCCCACATCATTAGAGCATCCGTATGGGCTTTCATTTTGAATTGAGATTGAAGAGGGGATTGTTATTGCTTTTTTCCCTCTGTCCAAATTGTTT